TTTTCTAACTGATCGAAACACATCGATTGGCGGATGATCTAAAATGCGCGAGTCAGACAGGGATGCACACTGTCACCGCTACTTTTTAATCTACATATTGAAGACGCGACCAACATTATTAAAGACAGTACAACTGTAGGGATAGATATACAGGGGCAAAAGATTAATATGCTTAGATTTGCAAATGATATAGTAGTATTAGCATTTAACAAGGAGGAGTTGGAGATAGCTTTAAATAAAATGGAAGCGGTATTAACAAAACAGTACTGTATGAAAATAAATAAAAGTAAAACACAAATACTGGTATACAAGGGAATAAAAAGTAGAGAAAGAGCGAATATAAAGATAGGAGACGAAAAATTAGAAGAAGTGGCCGATTTCAGGTATCTAAGAAGTCAGATAAGTCAGGACGGAAGGCGTAGTAGGGATATAAAGCAGAGGATAACGCAGGGTCGAGTCGCCTTTAATAAAAAGAAGTCACTTCTATGCTTGCGAACGGTTAATTTAGAAATTTGTTGTTAAAGGTGTATGTTTGGAGCACGTCGCTGTACGGGTGCGAAACATGGACAGTGGGCGCGGCGGAAAAGAAAAGGTTAGAAGCCGTTCGAAAGGTGGTGTTATAAGAGAATGATGAGGATATCGTGAACAGAGAAAGTTACATAGGTATTAGAAAGAAGAGGAGAACAGAGGACTCTATGGAAGTCAATAAGAAATAGGCGAGATAGGTTAGTAGGGCACCTTCTCAGGCATGTTAAGATTGTGGGTTGTTCTAGTTTTAGAGAAATGCAAAGATTAGCTCAGGATAGGAAAGAGTGGAGATGCGTGTCCAAGTGTTAGGACTGACCATCTTATGATGATGAGTTTAAAAAGTTTAATAGGTCAATACTGTAACTAACGTCTAAGTAGGTAACAAGCAAATCTTCGACCTGAAGGTGTGTCAGTCTCTTCTGAAATGATAGCTGTGAAGCTAGTACCTACAGCACAGTTGCCCATTAAATATGAATATAGAATTAGGACAAACAGAAATTATTGTTTATTTATTTTTGAATAAATTTCGGATCAGGGCAACTTAAACTACCCACAAATTCAATAGGTTCATAAAATTGTAACTGCTTTTTCCCATCACCTTGGTGAAAGAACGCGTTATCTCTTTAAAATTTTAATTGTTGGTCTTTGGCATTGATTTTTGGTATGCGCTGTGACATGGTCTGGTGCCTACATTATTAGACTTCGCTCGTTTCATGATTTGTGTGCACGGCTTACGTTTTCTTGTCATTCATTCGATTATGTGATTCTAAAACGTTTTGGAAACTTAGCGGACGTAATGAGTTTGGCCAAGAGTTGAGAATTATGACGTGATTTGTTATGTAAGACGTACAGGCGTACGTGATATCTGGGGCCTCAACTTTATTGGGAGTTCTGATTTTAAGTTATCGTTACATTTCGCATCTGTTGTGTGATTTTTTGTTACTCTTCGAGTTTGATTCTAGCCAATCCAATATAAAGACAGCAGTGTTATGGGGTGGCCGAGCATATATGTTTTTTGTAGCTAATGATGTATTAAGTATTTGAAAAGTCAATCTAATTTTACTATTACGTGGTACGAGTGCATCCTGCATCATTAATGAAATCATCGAATCATTTACAAAGCTTAGGAGAAATACTGATAATTTTTTGGGTACTTTATGGGACCATTGACAACTGGCCTTTTATGTGATTATGATTTAACCATTACTTCTAGTTGTCCTGATTTTTCTAGTACTTTTTAGTACATACAATTTTGCAGACTTAAGTACTAGTCTGTGTTGATTGACATGGTCTTAAGAACAGAAAAGAAAGAAAAAATTAACGTTACGTAATCATTAATTTTAATTGTAATGTGATTAATCAACATTTATTATATTTCCTTTGCAGCGATCATACGTTAGCGTTCTACGATTGTGCTTGATACACGCAATGTTTCATATAATCTCATACAAAGAAGCCAAGTAGATCTAGATCCGAAATACGCACCGGCCAAGGTACAGGATCTGTACATCCAATCCAGAGTTTAGGAAACTTGTCGTTTAGATCTAGAAACTCACGCAATGGTTAATGCAATAAAACTATACAAGATCACACGTTTATAAGAATAAAGAACTGCTCTAGGCTAACTGTCGCATTAACATTACCAATCACACTTAATTTAATCTAACAAATAACAAACAACGCATGAGTCAAAAACTTAATAGAAATACAACACGGATGCTATTAATTGCTACCTGATCGAATGAGGCGCTGCATTGTCCTATTTTCCTGCGTGATCCAACAAGGACTGGATTGGCCCTTGTCTGTAGTTTCAAATATGTTTATCTCGAAAACGGTTAACCGGATCACCAAATATTTACTTAATACTATTTACTTATTTTGCCTTATCACCTCCTACTTATTTCAAAAACACCCTGTACATTAAATCAGTAGGTCCTAGTCAAATGATAAGTAGATGCAATCTATTAATAACAAACATTTCCGAAATTACTTTGGCTTTTTTAATGATTATATTGTGTAAGCATCCAATTACAAGAGGCCATGTTTTAATTAATTTAATTATTGTTAAGTTTAATCATTCTAAAATACATAAATACACATATTCATATTGTAAATTATTTTGCATTTTATAATCCTCGTGAATGTCACAATATTGTTCCGGTTAATGTAGTAAGTGATATCTATATAGAGGTACACAAAATAAAAATTAATCGATTTATTGGAGAGTTATAAACAAGGTATAGATAATAAGTACATATTTGAAGAGAACTACAAATCCAGGTAGCCCAAAATAATTAGATATTAAACCTAACGTCTTATAGCTAGAAAATTCGGGCTGTACTTCAGCATGTTCTTTCTACATCATAAAGGAAAATATTACATGTTCATCCAATAAATATATGTTGTGCATTTTGCAGCTCTTATATACTTTTATATAAACTTACTGCATTTCACACATTATGGTTAAACAATTTCATGTTTCTAACTCCTATTTTGTGTATTTGTTTGGTTTGGTGTTTAAATTTTATATTATGATTGCTTGTCGGACCACAGCAGGAACTTGTGAAATTTCGTGCGTATACGGATAGGTACCTATGCATGAAGGTAAGGGCCGCTTGAAAATTTTTATGAATGAATGAAGAGAGTTTTACTACAACGTATTATTACTATGGCCTTTGTTAAGCGGGTGGTCCTTGACGACATCCAGTCTATGGTGTAAGGGCTAATATCTGCACAGGTGTTCGAAACGACACCACGGCAAAGGACATTCTTTTTACTTAGACCGGATGTTTCTAGCCGGCACTTGTGGAATCTATCGTTTCCCATTCAAAATTTCGAGTTGTTCGTTTATTGCATTAGCCGAAAAGGTATAAAGCTGCCCGGTCAACTACCCTGCGTCTCTTTCTAGCATACCTTTTCTCTTCTTCCGACAAAATGAAATTGATTGCTGATAGAAAAAACAACATTATAAGAAACAGGATTTACGTAATAAAGTCGTGCTGAGAAAAGTCGCTTTATTATTAAAGTAAAAACGATTTATTAAGTAATTTTAAAGAATTGTTAAAAGTGTAGTATCAAAAGCATTTTGTTATAATTTTAGGTAATAATGAATTGTTGATTTAAGGTAGTACATATTTGTATATTTAATTAACAGTAATTCTTGATTCAATTTTAGATAGTTTTGCTATAGAGGTAGTTTAGAATTTCGTGGGCCACGACCTTGAGTTGCGGAATGACAAAATTTCGCCTGTTTATTGATTTCTATCTGTTACTAAAAATATTGACCGCCTGTTTACGTGGTTAATAGTTGAGTCAATGTTTTTGAAATATGAATACAGTAAGGACTGTCCTTCTAATATTTTGCGGCCCAGGACATTTTGAAATACCTCTACCATGAGGTTTGTATTTATTTATTATTTTTATAATTTTAATTTAATTGTAATTCAACGTTTTAATAAGATGGACCTTTTACAGTTTTACACTATCATCAATATATTTTAAATTCACTAGAATAATCTACCTTGATAAAGCCTTAAAACATAAAGGCGAAACGTTGGTTTGCTAATTTCATCAATGAATAACTTTTCATTCCTTAATGTTTCAAGTCGTAGCAGATCGGTGTGTTTCTTGTAATCAAATCATCCTGGACATGTAATATTACATATTCTATATGTCTACTTTTGTACCGCTTGTAATGATTTGAACAATAAATTTCAAGCAATATTGAGAGTATCATCATATGGAAGACATGTTTACTGTGAAATTAATGTAGTAACGCTTTCTTCAATGAATGAATGAATGTGTTCTCTACGCACGAGTATGTATTTAATTGAAAACAGCAGAAGGTTTTGGACATCTCACAACCTTTAGTTTTAGGAAACTAATGTTATATTTTTAACGTAAGGTCTATCCGCTAAACCAAGGTTTCTGTTAAGTATTATATAAACTTTGTCATATTGTTTTCTTTTTGGCATTGGTATAGAATTTTTTAGGTATTCTACTTGGTGGTTTAGATTGGCAACCTAATTAATAAATTAATCGTTACGTTGCATAGCATTAAAGAGAAACAGAAAACGGGGAAAGTCTTTAACTTATATGACTTTTGCTTATCTTGTTAATTTGTGTGTTGATAAGAAATTCAGATGTAAAAATTTCGTCTATAGAAACTAAATTAAAGTTAATCCCAGAAGTTCTACTCGATCTGGCTTAGAATATCATTCTATTACAGTAATGTAGATGTTGAATCGATGAAGCTTTCAAGTAATGTAACTCCATATTTAAAAATAAAGTAACACTTTTAGTTTACGAATAATTTATTATAACCACTATAATTATTTCGACACACTGTGCCTTCTTCAGGTGGTGAAGATATCGCACATATCTGAAGAAGTATTTTTATTTTATTTTTAATGTACATGTAGATGCGTTTTTCGCTAAAACCAAATTGCGGTTTCCTACTTAAGAATGCTTACCCGTAACGGTAGTCGTCCTCTATGGAAACATAGTCAGGAGGGATTATATGCCAGTTGCTATCGTAGTAATTTTCTTCGTAACCGTTCACCGCCATTTCGTTAGTATCGGTAGATGAGAGTCACTAATTGTAATCTGGCCGTAATATCTACGCTACGCAATGTAAGATTGTACACTGCGATTTTTCAAAGTTCCTCCATAGAAACGAACCGAATCGTATAAAGCATACGTTTTCTGTGATCAGACACGACTGATTAATCGGAAAGTGAAATAAAATTGATAACTTTCACAAAAATGATATCAGACTCTTATCTTTTCGATAAACACCAGGTGGACGCTACTAACATCTCTCGATTGGTAGGTAGCTATTAGAGTGACGAATGATAACGCCATATACCGAATATAAAGAGATGTTTTTATTATTGAAGAACTGACATTATATAGCAGGTACAATATTATTTTAAACAAGTGACAATTAAGATTATTACAATGGAAAGTATTTACTTGTAATCCATTTAATACTCTATCATTATGAAATCATAAGCTCTATTTTTGATGGCTCGGGACAAATTTTTATTCACCAAAAAGCTTCACAAGTTTCTTAATGGTTGTGTTTAAAACCTGACTTTTAAAGAACGAATTTTTATGTATTCAAATAGGTATGTTTTTTCTTCTTTCATAAAGAGACTCAGATCAGTAATCTTATTTAGGTACTTTTGAGTCTCCTAATGCCGATAATTCAATCTACAAATTCGTTGTTGTTTTTTAAATATTAATTAAAAGACTGATGGGAGATTATATTTTTGCAGGTTTTACTAAATAGACCATGGGATCTCATAGTTTGTGCGATTTGTATATATGACTGAGTTTTGGGGGCTTTGTATAAAATATGGTAGTTTTCGCAGGGTATTAGTACGACTGAAGAAGACCTCATATGGAATGACCTGAGATGGAGAGGTTTTAGTCGGTAGGTACAAGGACATTTTCCTCAGGAATCCGACACTACCCAGTCGTACGGACGGGCAGGTGTCTTGAAGAGATTTCCCCCCTTCCACGAAAACAAAAAAATAGGGTAGTAGGAGTGAGATCGTTTTAGCGTGAAGTCATAGATTTAACGAGACGGCGAAAATATTTTTTTATTTATGTTTTCAAGTGCCTTTTTAAGATCATTTCGGTTATGGGTGCCTACTTTTTCCATTTTTTATATCACATTTACCTCCTCCCCTTTTTTTAGCTGGATGCTATTCCCATCTCCGGATACAATCTGAGCTTCGTACGAATAGCATTTTGATAACTTCTAGTCGTTCTTGCAGTTGGCGCACGTACTCGTTTGTAGACACTAGAGAGTCTGTAGGTCGACTAAACATCTTATCCGCTGAGAGCCTAAGTTCTTTCCCAAATAGAATGTTGCCCGTTGTTCTTCGAGTTATCTTGTGGATGACGGATCTATAAGCTAAAAGGAATAGGGGAATATGATGGCGCTCTCATATTAAATTGATGTGCTGCTGTATTCGTTAGCGACTTCTCGACCTCAGCAGCGAGCATATCAGGTATTTCCTGCACAAGTCTAATTCGTAGCCAATAAAATCGTCACGTATCATCCTTAAAGTCTTGGCAATGCCGAAATGTCCTTCGCTATGAATTGCTTCTAAGAATAAGTATGTTCTTCAGAAGTGTCATTTGAAGCTTGTTTCTAGTTCCGTCAGGAATCTCCCACATTTTCTTTAATGTATCGTGGTAAGAAAAGTTTAACTGGGATATCAATAACTATTTTTTCGTTTGTTGTCTAGCTTACTCACGATGGTCTTGGGACCACCTCGGCCGATCACTGTAGTTATTCTTCCACATTTCCAGCACTTCAGACTTCTACTTATTACAGTCTTGGCCAAAATGACCAGTCCTTCCCCTGGTTTTTCTCGCATGTTTTATGAAATCTTTGATGAGTGGCGCTATATCTTTCTTGCAGTTGTACTGCGTCGATTTCTGTATGTCGTATCCGTGAATGGCCCTACTTCGCTACTTCAAACTCGAAAGCATGTGATAATGTTTCACTATCTGGTGACGTGCTAGTTTAAGGACTTGATGTAGATCTGTGTCCCTGACTCCACCGATAAATATTTATACTACTAGTTGTGCTATGGACTCCTGAGTGACAAAGGGGTAAGTTAATCTTACATGACGCTCTACAGCACATTCTAACTATTAAAAGACTTATTACTTCGTTGGTTACGAAGTTCAGTTCAGTTGCGTCTGGTGGTACATTTCTATTATTACATACGACGATAAATATTTTCGCTTTACCTCTAGATGGTTGGGAAATTGGTGGAAGTTATATTGTTGAAGTATATGTGGTGCCTCTTCTCGTAATTATTAGTGCAGTTGCTTTTTTTGAATCAGTTCCTGCGTTAGTCTCTATCGCTGCTCCAAACTGCTTCAAGCAAACGGATCACGATATATTCCTGTCGAAAATTGCAGTTAAAGGTTTATTAACTTTACACTGGAATTATTGGTTCTCGCAGTAGGGGGTAGTTTTAGTTTTTGAATTTCAGTCTTTCAATTCTTCTTGACCCGTTTTCACGTCTGCATTCATTTCTTCTTCTTGTCTTTCCTTATTTTTTTTTAAGATTCCTATCACTATTGGCATTAAAGCCTTTGCTTTTACCTCCATTTTTGCTTTGGTACTACTGGTTGTAACACGCATAAAGCGTCTCCATTTTATCTAGAACATTGCATAAATAATATATAATTAATTAGACCTGTGAAAATTTTCAGAAAATTCGACGAGATTCTTTGATGGTGTCAAATTCTTTCTTCTCGTTGTTCGAGTGTTTTCCAGTGATATATGATTTGTTAAGGTTATTCACGATACACAGAGATTTTTAGAAAATTCGATAAGGTTCTTCGACGACATCGAATTCGTTCTCCTCTCTTCAAGAGTTTGCTAATAATATATAACTTTTTAGGGTTATTCTCTATCCTTAACAATTTATAGAAAATTTAATTAAATACTTCGATGACCTTCTTCCTTCTATTATATTTGATCCTTTATCTTTATCAATTCCACTCCTAATACTAATTGTCGTTTAATCAAACACCTTTTAACTATTTTATTTTTCTACTATATCTTCCGCTGAACTACAGAATTCTGGAATTCTTCAGTAACAAACTCGGCGACTCTCCCTTGATGCTTCTTATATGGCGGATTGCCTACAGGTCAGTATAGCTTACGTTAAATAAGGTAAAAAAACTTAAAAAAAAACGTTTGGGTGTTTCATTCCCACCAGCCAGTAATTTGGTAAAATTTTAATTTGTTATCCACATGCAATGGTTGCATTTGAATGATTCTGTTTGTCTTAAAAAAATATGAAATAAAAACTTCACTAAGTTATTTTTATCTTTAATTTTAAACAATCAAAGCACTTGATCAATCGATGTAATTTACTTAGTTGGTAATAATTTTATAGATAATGTACTGTTGGCGTAGAATAAAAATGATTTTCAAAGAAGTACCTATTTTAAAAAATTGAGGTTGCTATAACGTGTTTACCAGAAAATTATTTATTACCCTTCTTCAACAATTTCACTAGTCAAACGCTTTGGAAGTTTTGTAACAAATTAGGGGTATAAACGCAAGAAGATGAAAAAACTCAAGGTCGTATGTAGCGTGATAGCTACAAGATAAATAACGATTCTTGTATGTAGATATTTTTGTCCTTATGATGATACATGATTTTAAAATTTTGAAATAGATTAAAATAAAATGCTTCAGTCAGAAGTAAGGGAGGAGTACACATTTGCCCCCCGCCCCTTTGTGTACCCACGCCAGTAGCAATACTTAACAAACATTAAAATGTTCTCAATTGAAAGCTTCTTTAAACTCTCTTTGAAATACACGACCTGGATGGAATATTAACTAACTAATTACACTGAAACCTTAGAATAGATGTGTGTGATGCTTAGGGTAAGAATACATCACATTAAGAAAATTTTGAGAGTATTTGGAAACATTATAGAATTTTTTAGAAATTTCTGGAAAATTCGTGATGTTTTTAAAACATTTTCTTATGTTCGTACATCTTTCATCCACTAGAAAATAGCTGAAATAATTTATGACTTCTAATAAGAATCCAATGTGTCAAAGTATAATTTTTATTAGGCATGCCTTATGTATATAAAAAAATACTTTACATTTTGTTTGTGATCTTTAGAGCATTAAGTGTAAGTCATACCTATTAAAGATATGATCAGACCGGGTAAGACGGTGCTTAATATTTCAAGCGCCTACTTGAGTAATTAACAGTACCTATAAGTAACTTTCTATTTTCTATAATCAAAACTGAAACACTTAATTTAAAATATTTCATTGTTGAATGTTGATACTTATATCTAAAAGTGTTCAATGCGTTTTAGTGCAAATACTGTCCTTTGGAAGTGAAGCATGATTTATTAATTCATTATTAAAGTCTAACAATAAGTCAAAAGTACCTGTTTTATTTATATTTAATTTATTTATCTTCCGCATGATTTTGTAAATTGACATTGATAAAATCATCAGAAAAGATAAGAACAATATGTTTTAAACGTAATATAAAATGACAACTGGATATAAAATAGTATAATGATAACAAATTTCACCAAGACAAAAAAATAATTTACATGTTGTCAACATTGGCTGAAAAAGCAGGTGGCACTTATTGTAACCTCACTATTTGTAAGAAATCATAAATTAGACAAAATATGCAGTATTACTTGAGTTGGAATTAAATGCACATTACTATACACTAAAACAACTTCAAAACAAAATGTATTTTTATTTGGAAATTAATAATTATGATTGATACCTATCACAGAATCGTACAACCACTTTCAGTCAAGTCATAATTTATTATAATCCATCAAATTATAGCAGCAAGTAGAAACAACTTGTTTAAAACGGTTAGAGATGTGACCTTGACGAAAGCTGTGCTAATAGAAAGAATACACACTAGGCGTAGCAAGACAGAAATACGACACATTACATTTAAATGAAAAAAATTGATTCACTAAAACAAAAATAATTTAAACGAGATAAAATATGATTGAATATGAAGATTGGAAAAACTTTGGCGGTTGTTGTAGAATAAATAAAATAGCTCAAACCCCAACGCCAAAACATGACACTTTAGTTGTCCGAAGCACTTTACGGTAACAAGGTTACCTTCTTCAGGGACTGAAGAGAAATAAACCTAAAACCTGTTGGTTCAAATACTCCACTTCTGACTTTCACAGTGCTCTAGGAGTGACTCGATAGT